GTCAGCTCTCAGCCTGGGTGTGCACCTCGGTTCCTCATTCCAAGAAATAACAGAAAGAGTTGTATGCTTTATGTGGGAGCTTTTATGGAGAAGTGAATACCCAGGATGAACTACGCGGAGGTGATAAAGCAGGACCCATTCCTGGCAAACTAAGGCCCCTGGGCATCTCGAGGAGAGAAGGCTGGGGCCCCACCAGGGTGGGAAGCCTCTCGGGAGGTGTTGCGGGCGTGAGCCTGGCCTGGCCGCCCCTCTAACTCTTGGTCTGGGCTTCTCCCCAACACCCTCCCTGGCCTGGCAGGGGAGCCTGGCTGGCCCTCAGAGCAGGTGAGTGGGCAGCTCGGGTGAAGCTGCAGAGCGCATGTCCTGCATGGCCAGGCCTGACGCCAGCCTGTGCCAACGCCGTGCACCCCAGCCTCCCCACTGCATGTGGGTACTCACTCCCCACACCTCTGCCTCCTCACTTCTCATGGTGTTTGTGTCCTGCACTGTCCTCGTGGCCCTGTCCTCCCTTGTGCTGTCTGCTGTCCCAGCCGTGATGGGGGAAGGCCCAGGGTCCCTGGGGAAATCAGTATTTTTAGTGGTCTTGGCTGGTGCGGAGGCCAGCTCACGCTGGAAGAGATCTGAGAAATGATTACTCAGCCACTGGCATACAGGACCCTAGCCAGCAGTTGGTCTGGCCAATGCCAGGCGGGCCCTCGAACCTGTGGAAGGAGGAGAGGCCTGGGTGGTAGGTGAAAGGCATAGGCAATTCCCAGAGAGGCTTCACTTATTGCATGTCTGTATGCTCCCCACATGTACCACATCTGCCCTTTGGGGGCCTCCCAGGCCCGGCCAGGCCCACAGCAGGCTGTGCCCTCCTGGTCCCCATCTTCGCCATGAAGCTCGTGCTCTGCCTTGTCAAGTACTTGGGGTATGTCCGTGAGAGTGCACCACCCCATACCACGCTGACCCCCTCTCTTCCCCCCCTTGTCCCTCCAGGGCATCGAGCACCTCAAGCGGAAGAATCAGCCGCGGGAGCGCACGGGCGGTTGGAAAGTGGTGAAGGAGACGTTCGGCGGGGACTTCTCCCTGAACTGGTTCAACCCCCTCTCCGGCCCGTGGCACCCGAAGGCCCTGAGTGACCAGGACTGGGTGCGGCAGGAGGCCTCGCTGTCAGACACCAGCAGCACGCAAACCAATGAGGAGCAGTCCGAGGACACCAAAGACCAGAGCTCGGGTGGCAATGGGCACTAAGCAGTGGCCACTGTAGGAACAGAACAAACACAACACGGTCCGTCCACCTCTGTCCTGGGTTTTGGCTGCAGGATGTGACACACTGTCATCCCCTGATGGCCCTCTCCAGCACTCACCTGACATTGCCGTTCCCGGGGACCCCTTCCTCCCTCTGTCGGACAACGTCCAAGGGCAGGTGGGCAGGAGATGTGGGCCTTTTCCTCTGAGTTCATCTCAGAAGCGTCTGCCCCGGGAGGGGTCATCAGGAGCCCTTTTCCAAGACAGGGACCCCCACACACACAGTCTGCCCACCTAAGGGAGCTCTGAGCAGGCGGTCCTGGAAGAGACCTTATCCTGCCTCTGTTTTTCTAGAATCAAGGTCATGATGTCATGCTGGCAGGGACACAACAGAGGCTGGCCCTGGGGACGTGGGGTGGGACACTGTCATCAGGAGAAGAGGCCCTGGAAAGGGCTCCCTCCTGCTGCTGAATTAAGAAGGCGCGGCCTCGGGGGAAGGCTTGGTTTGAGAGAGAACCCCCAGACCAGGCTGGACACGCGTATGCAGCACGTGGGGGCTGGAGCTGAGCCTGAGTTTAGGGCAGTGACGGTATAAATCAGCACCTGCAGCGGACACAGGGTCCTGACCAAGGCAGACAGCGTGGGGGTCATCCCGCCTGTGGCCAGGCGTGTGTCATTGGCAGATAATGTCCACTTGCAGGTGGGAGTGAGAACAGCGCTTATTCAGAGCTTCTGGGGGCCCAGCCCTCAGCCAGAACCCTGATTTAACACCCTCTACTGGAGGGGCTCTAATACTCCACACAAGCCCAGAGCTGACAAAAAGCCTGCCTGTGAATCCTTGGCCACCTTTCCCAAGTTGTGCGCACTGTATTTCTCCAAAAGAATGGGTGAGTAGTGAGCCCGGAGACAGACAGACACTCCCACCCCGTATTCTACCAGGAGGAGTCCAGGCCCTGGGCCACCCCATTTGAATCCTGGGGTGTCTATGGCCATTAGTGAGGGTCTAGACCAAGGTTCCCGGGCTGTAACAGCCCAGCCCTACTGGGGAGCGTCTTGGGCTCACAGCTCAGCACGAGGAACCACGCCCAGCTCTAGTCTAACGAAGCTGACACGTTCGCCTTCCCTTTGGGTTCGTCCCCAGTAACACTGACACCACAGCTGCTGCTGGGTTTAAGCGCTCAGGCAACACCCCTGGGCCTGACTGTGTTTTAGCATCTTCTCCCAGCGACGAAGGAGTGTGAGGGCTGGCCCCACACAGCCCTGGAGGCCCAGATCAGTGGGGAAGGAGGCCAGAATTTGATGTACAGCCTGAGGATACTGAGACGAGGGCTGGGGTGAGCGTGGCAAACAAGGGAGAAGCAAGAAACTGGGCTGCCTTCTCTAGCCTGGAAGTCTGCTGGTCCCAACAGAGACCTTGTGGCTACAGCTGTCAGTGCCCTGCTTCTGAGGTTAAATGTTACTGCCGAGTACCGTCCAGTTGGAACCAACTCAAAGCTGAGCCTCTAGCGGCTTATAAACCCCACACAAGGGGATTGTCCCACTTTCTCTGGTGGAGCCGCTGGTGGATTTGAACCTTTGGGTTGGCAGTAAGCCATCAGAGCTAGGGCCTGGGACACTTTGTCAGTGTTTACAGAGCTACCTCTAGCCTAACACCTGCTCAGGGCCCAGATAGACCATGCCCAGTAGAGGGCGCTCATGGGCTCTGGCGTTGACCAGACAGGTGCCCCAGGGCGCAGGTCGTCTGTGTCCTCTATCAGCTTCAGCGTTAACAACGACGTAAAGAGGCTAGATCAGCTGGATGTTTTGGGGGAGACAGTTTTGAACAGGTTGTTATTATGTACCGTTGAGTCAGGACTGACTTGTACCTGACCCGCTGGCAGGTTTTCAGAGGCAGTGAATCGTACCAGAGGAGTGTGAATATCTTTCTCCTGTGGGGCACCTGGTGGATTCGAACCATGTGCCTTTGCGTTGGCAACAAAGCTCCTTACCACTAAGCCACCGGGGGGAGGGGCTTTTTGCGTTCCTCACCCATCAGAAATCAGCCGCAATGCCGACATGGTGGGCTGTGTACCTGGGCGACTCCCAGTGACTCGCTTGTCAGAGTTAGAGACCGCACTGGGACCCCTCTGTGACTACACGCTGTGGCCATCTGTCTTCAGGGCCTGAGGCCAGAGGTATGTCCAAAACCACATGGCAATTGGGACTTAGAAACACATTCTTTGGGGCCAGCTTGACCCAAAAGCAGAGGTGCCCACCAGCCCCAAAGCCAGGGCTGGTTCTGATTGGTGGCTCTGGGGGAAAGCTTGGGAATGGAGGCTTTCTACCTCCACAGATTGGAGCTAACACCTCCCTCCATCCTGTGAGGTGCTGGACTGGGCTGCTGGCCCAGTCATTGCTGTTGAGTCAGAACTGACCCATAGCTGACTTCCCAGCAAGTTTTCATAGGCAGTAAATCGCACGGGAGGAGATTACTCATTTTTCTCCCAAGGAGCAGCTGGTGTATTCAAACCACCCACCTTGGGGATAACAGGACAACTCCCTACCCACTAGACTATCAAAGTTCCAACCTAGAAGTGTTATATGAGGACTAAGTTCTCAATCCCCAGCCTCATGCCCCCTCACCAGAAGCACCTGTGGACAGCAAAACACTCATTCTTCTTTCTACTTAACCTCAAACTAACAGAATTGCAGCCAGTGTAACGGAGATGAGGCTGGCACAAGACTTCATCTCTTTCTTTGAGTAAAAAAAACAAAACGTTGCTTAGTTTAGCGGCTGGAGTGTCTAAAACTCAGAAACGTTGATCAGCACCCTTCTTCTCTGGCCACCTCCAGGGGCACCTCTGGGAAGCCACGCTGTTCCTCTGCCCGTGTGAGAGACATACGAGCCCCACTCGCATCACCACTGTGCACGGGCCTTGATGCCCTTGGGATTGCGATGCTGTGCTGGGGAGCGGAGGGGAGGATCCCCAGAACGCCATGCAAAATGACACTCAAAACAGTCCTCATTCAACTTACGTATGTGCCTCGCCCAGGGTGGGGGTCCTCAAGAGAGGGACTGGACAACCTGAACAGACCCTGAAAGGAAGCCTGGGCCCATGGAGAACTAGTCCCCTGAGCCCCCCTGACCTGGGAATACCCATGGCTCCCTGGATCCCCAAGTGTCCACATGAGAACACCTAAATGAGGATACCCAACATGGAATGTAAGAAGCTTATAAAACTATAAAAACCACCTTTCTGTCCCTCCAAAAAGTGACTCGGGCGACCATATCATCATCTTGAAGCAATCAGAGTTTAATTAAAATCTTAGGAGTCATTTAAATCATTCTAGAGGGCAGAGCGAGACTTCAGGAGCAAGCTGGGATTAATCAGGGTTGAGAGCCAGTTCCAGATCTTTTTCAATCCAGTTCTTGTTAAGCTGTAGATTTTCCTGCAGTGCTTTGGGGCAGAATGCAGCTTTTTCTCAGCAGGGGAGCAGACTGCAAAGAGCTGGTTCAAAGCCTTGGAAGTAAGAGGAGGGCTTTGCGGGGGGCCTGAAGAGGAGCCCCTCCCATGATGATGGCTTTTCCACTGGGGGGGGGTTGACTCAACGGAGGAGGACTAACGCCTTGTCTAACCTTTGGTTGACTCTTGAACCTGCATAATCAATCTTTTTTTATAATCTGCATAATCATCTTGCATAATCAAATCTAATCATCGATGATCTGAAAGTTGATCTCAAAGAAGGAATTGCTGGAGCCTGTGGGCCTTGCTTGTGGCGTCCGGGCAAAGCTATCTGGTGACGTGAACAATCTTCTCTTTGTAAATTTCTTTCACTTCATTGGAGAAGAACTTGATGATTAATTTCTTTTCCCCAGGTTTAGTCGGGTTACATTTTACCTGGATGCTGGCACTCTTTTGCGGCTCCACCACCCTGGAAAATACAAAAGCACACAGATATGCAATCAGCTGAGGGCGCCTGGAGGAGAGGGCACAGGAGCGTGGCATGAGGAATTCCTGGCTTTCGCTTGACCTTTCTAAAAAGGCTGGACCATCTGAGGGCTCAGCACAGGAGATCTGCACCCCACATGCCATTTGAACCTCTTGGGGCGCTGTAGACAAGGCCTGATGTCTAGGGAGTCCCATTCAGTGGGTCAAGGCAGAGAGCCTCTGGTGACCAAAGTGAATTATAGGTGAGGACCCCTGGAGGCAGCGTTGTTCATAAAGCAGCAGGCAGAGGACCGAGTTCTGGTGGCCTACATGATGCTTTTCACATTTTGAATCACTTGCCACCTTTTATAGTCCAAGAGGTTTCGGAGTAAAAACACTATAAACCACCAGTATCTTCTGTCTTCTGAAAACCCAAAGGATCCTACCATGCTAAGGCCAAGGGTCCAGCGGGTGTCAGCCAGCAAAAGGAGGTAGGAGCGGTCACTGCTGCTGCCACAGCCCCCTGCACCCCTGCCTGTCCACAGCACCCGACTGCTTGCCTCGTTACTGTCAACCAATCTGGCTGGCATTACTTCACAGGCCCGAGTTTCTAGACCTCCTTCCTGTCCTCATCCTGGGAGAAGCTGCTCTAGGAGCAAGCATGGCCTGAGAGGGGCCAGACAGAGCTGGGGCACAATGAGGCACTAAGCAAGTTCCTGGCTCCTTCTCCCCTTCTACTGCTCAGCCCGTTTGAATCTCCCTGTAAAGGTGACAGGGTAGGTAACAGTATTATCCTCTCTATTGTGTTTGGAGGCCCTGGCTGAAGCAAAGACTGACTGACGCTGCTTAAATATGGGACCTCAGCTTTGGAACTGTCGACGTCTCAAATGTTTGTGGATCTTAGCGTTCTATTCACTGTTTGGTTCAAGGTAGCTGGGTCAGCGGGTTTGCACTGGCCTCTTCAAAACCCTCCTGGAGCCCTGCCTGGGTTTGCAAATGTTCTTGCTTCGTTCATATTAACAAGAGCTGTCTCCAGGAAGAACATAATGGGATTCACGTGAACAGACTTCTAACCCCTCGCTACCCATTGCGTGGTCCCAGAGCCAGCAACATCCAAATACCCTCGGAGCTTGTCAGGCTCAGAACCGGCAGTCCCACGTCAGACCTGCTCATGCAGAATTTGCGCTCTAACAGAATTCTCCAGGTAATTTATATGCACATTAACATTTGAGAAATGCAAATATATAATAACAATTTTTTTTTCAAAAACCCACCAACTTGACTGTGACAAACTATTTGCAGCATGAATACCCTTTACCTTGTGAAGAGACCAGACAAATTAAGACTTAAAAAAAAAATAAGTGGCTCCATAGAAATATGGGCATTGGACATGGAAAGGCAATTTAAAGGGGGTTATCTATAAAATTAAGAAAAATAGTCTCACAAATAATGAGAGATGCAGATTAAAATGGCTGTGAGATCATACAACTTGTGTTGTTGTGAGATGCTGTCCCGTCAATGCTGACTCACAGCGACAGTGTGAACAGGCAGAAGCCTAACCCTCTCTGTCCCATCCTCACAACGTCCCCATGCTCAAGCCTGCTGTCACAGTCATTTCACCATTCAAAAGAAGAAACCTCATTGCAGTCGCGTCAGAGTCCATGCATAGCTGATGCGCCTACTGGTTTTCAGAGGCTGGAAAACACAGAAGATTATCCACCTTCCTGAGCCAGAGCAGCTGGTGGACTGGACCCACCACAGAGGTGCCGTGTTTGGTTAACAGCACAACTATGGTACCGTTTAGCCATTTGATCAGCAAAATTCAAAACCACCTGGTGACAGTGCCTAAGTCAATGCAATCTCCTAAGAAAGCAATTTTATCCTCTAATCCCCTTCTTTAAAGTCACACTCTTGGCGCACCAGCGTGTGCATCCCGCAGTGACACGTCTGGAGAGCTCATCGCTGACGTCTTTGGGAGGATGAATCGGGAGGACTCACCCTTTGTGGAAAATCTGCCGCTGGCTGAGGCCCAGGCTTTCCGTGTGGAACTTGGCATTCGTCAGAGGGATGTTCAGGATGTTGTGAATGGTGCAGGTGCAGATGCACGGAGAGCCGACCTGGACTTTGGAAGGTATCTGCATCAGGGCAGGGAGCAGAGCAAAGGGGGAAAATCACACATGGGCTGTGATCCACGAAGGCACAGAAGTAGATCTGTCACCAGGAGTTATGCCTGGCCAGGTCTGAACTAACACACACACACACACACACACACACACACGTACGTATTCTGCTGCACAGGAACAATCTGAAATGGTGAGCATGTCCGACTTTCTGTTAAAGAACCTGAGAACTGTAATCCACACCACTCAGTCCCAGACAGCAGCCTGGGGTTGGGAGAGACCCTCCCTTAGGAATTAGGGGTGCAAAGAGGCATTCTCAGAAGTGTCTTTGAAGCAGGGATGTGGGTTCCAGTGTGTCTTCATCCCTGTGCCAGTTCTGCATTCCTGGACAATCTCAAGTGCCCACAGCAGCTCACAGTCTCCTCTCCCCAACATTCACTTTCCAGACGAGACTTGGGTCTCCACCCGAGACCATCCAGTTGGCTGCAACAGACCAGGGATTAGAGCTACTTCACTTTTACTGGACATCACCGCTAAGTTCAGGGCCTCCCAATCTCTGCACTCAGTAGGTTATTTATTGTCTAGAGAAAGAATAGCTTCTGTTCTCCTCTCTTGTTTTCAGAATTTTGGCCCATAGTAAACTATTAAAGGTGGTATATGATGGACTTCACCAAGGTCCCAGGACAGACCTCAAAGGGCAATGTTTAGAAGGAGAGTCCACCTGCTCACGGACACCACATAGTCTAACTAAATGTGCAATTCACGACATGGGGGCAGAACTACAAGGCACTGGCATGTGGATCTACTGATCTGAGAACACCTGCCAATCAACAAGAACAAGACAGCCCAGTGGAAAAAGAAATGGGCAGGCGATATAAACACAGGTTCCTGAAAAAGAAAAGCCAATGGCCAATATGGGAAAAATAGCCAGACTCACTAAACAATCGGGGAGACCAGTGTTCAAATCTAGCCCCGTGTCCAAATGTCCCAAACTCCACCATATCTACCGATGAAAGTTCAAGTCTGTTCACGGGGCGTGAACAGTAATGGTTAAAACTGTGAAACAAGCTAAATGTCCACCTACAGAGCAAAGGCCAAATTAATGAAGGGAATTCCAGCCGGAGGATTCCACTGAACTGAGTGGGAAGGGACTGTTCCCCAGGACACCGTGGGATTGATCTCTTCATTCACTGTGGAAGACGCAAGCTAAGTACTATACACAGGAGGGAAAGGACTGAAATGACAGAGATGCAATGTCATACTCTTACTTAAGCAATATTAAAACACATTGCAAATACCTAGCATGTGATCCCAACTTGTCAGATTTGTCGGTCAGGTATGCCTTCATACCCATTAAATGGCATGTGGCCAATGCTACATAAAAAGCACTGCAGGCTTGCCAGAGAAATTACCAGGAACAAGTTTAATAACAACAACAGGGGCTTGCCTGATGGAACAGGTATAGCCACTCAATGGTCATAAAAGAAATGAGAAATCCCTCTATGACTGTTACAGGATAACCTACAGGACCTGTTGTCAAATGGGGTGGGGGAGCAAGGTACAAAATAAAAAAAAATAATAATAAAGGGATGTGAAATTGTTATCTATAAAATGTCTAGGCAGTATACCAAAATCCTGACAAATGGAAGAAAAAGGAAGTGAGAGAGAAACTTTTCTCTATAGCCTTTTGTACTGTATGTAAATATTGCTGTTGTTGTTGTGTGCCATTGAGTCGGAACTGACCCATACCTAACCTTGAAGCAGGTGTTCAGAGACAGTAAATCACCCAGGAGTTACTGTCCATCTTTTCCCTGTGGAGAAGCCAGTGGATTCAAGCCACCTGCCTGGGATGGCAACACAGCTTCTGACCATAGGTCACAGGAGTTCCTGACCACTAGGTCACCAGAGCTCCCTACGTAATAATTACTTATTTTAAAAATCAGGTTTTAAAAAATTCATTGGACCAAAAACTTGGAAGGGGAAAAATATGTATATATGTATTCTGAATGGTTACTTTTGCAGCAATTCCTGTTTAGATAATCAAGGTGCTATTATTCTTAGGGTTGCAAGTGTCCTGAAGAATAAGTCAGCTGGGGACCCCCAAGAGCCTTTGGGACCCCACCCCACTCCAGGCTAGAGTTCTGTGTGGACTTCAGGCAGCTCACCTCAATAGAGATCTTGGGGTATTTGAAATGCACATACACTTCGGCAGAATCTGAGGCTTTGGAGTTTATAATTTCTGCAACCAGGAGACCTTTGATGACTGGCACATCACCAAACTTAATCACCTTCTTCATATAGGTATTAGGGTCCAAGGTCAGAGTAAATTCCGTCACTGTCAGAAAGATGGGAAGGAGGAAATGGTTATCAGTATAGCACTCCACCTCCCCAGACAGGCATTTGCGTCACCAAGCAGAGGATGGGATTAGTTGTGGATGGATGGAACTGTGCACTTTAGGCCTAGTCTTTCCTCTCTCCAGGGGCCTCACGTGGTGTCGTGTGTAGGGAGCTGTGCTGCCAACCCAAAGGAGACACCTCTCTGGTGGTTCGAACCCACCCACAGCCCCTCAGGAGAAAGGTGGGCAGATCTCCTTCCATGCAATTTACAGCCTCCAGAAACTGCTGGAGGGTCTGCTATGAGTCAGTACCAACCCTACGGCAGGGAACGTGAGGTGGTGCCTCTGTATGAAACAAAGAACTGGGCTCAGGACAGATAAATAATGGACTACATTCTCTCCAGGTCAACATTGGAGGTCCACTCTCATGCACATTTTCAGTACTGGGTACTGGATCTCAGGTAATGGGTACTGAGACTTCACACTCATTCTCAATACCATACCTTGGGCATCCAAACCCACTGATTAGAGTGACTATTTGAGATAAGACCCTTGCCACCATAAAAGACTTATTTTTTATAATTTTTAAAAATTTTATTTTTTTAATTTTTAAGTGTGTGTGTGTGCCATCAAATTGGATCTGATTGGTACAGGAGATTGTCCCTCCTTCTCCAGCAGAACATCTAGTGGATTCAAACTGCTCAACCCGGGATTGCAGCACAGCTTCTTGCCACTAAGCCACCAGAGCTCCCGTATAAAAGACTTCTTAAAGACACTCCCAACATCGCTCATCTCCAAGTCAACAGTAGACCCCACAAGTCTCTGACCGACATTTCTTCTTTGTCCAGATTCTTTGTGGCCAGCAAATGACACGTATGAGCTAACTGTGTTTGTGCATTCACAGAAGTTTGTTACTATAAGGAAGTGGCCCACAGAAAACAGAAAGGTCTCAGAGGGTGGGAGCCCTGATCTCTTGTGGGGCCCGAGGACAGCCCTGCCCTTGGCTTTGGTACCTGCTTGCTTCATCTCGATGTTGTTCAGGAGAGAGTTCACCGGTACAGCTTCGGAGCCTGTGTATGACTGTAGGTCAAAAGAGGAGAGGACTTTGGCAGTCTGAGTAGTAGCTGTATTTCTTTGTAGAGTCACAACGATTTTCACAGGCTCTCCCAGGAGCACGGGGTCTGCCTTGGCCAATATCTTCAGAAGTGTCTCCTTGTCAGTTTCTGTAGGATTCCTTTCCTGATCCAAAAGAACATAAGCATGGTCCATGGCCTTACGCTCCTCCAAGGAACCTGAGAGAAACACAGAAGCAACCTCATCAGAGAGTTCCATCGGGGGCAAATGTCCCAACAAACCCTCTGGCTGTGGGTGGCCAGCTCATCTCTCCACATCTCCCGAGACTTTCCAGGCGCCTGTGATCCACCCAGAAGGTTTGAATGTACAGAGGGCAAGGTTCACCTTCCCACTTCAGAGTAATAACATGATCTGACGACAGAAAAGACAGCAAAGACCTCTGAGAGACTCATGCCTTCACAAAAGCAACAAAGTAGTAGAAAAACTGGTCAGAGATTGCCTTTTTCAGAATAGGGGTTGACTGAGGGTTTGCAACAATCTGAGGAGCATTTATTAAAGAAAAACTGCTTAATCTCTGCAAAAACAGCGCATGTGTATCCTTTCCCTAGGCATGACAATAGTGCCACAATCACAATGAAAACTAGCAAAACTCTAGGGGGTGGGGACAGAAGGAGTGGATGCAAAGCACCGAGAAAGACCCACCCCCTCCTCGAATGCACTGTCATTTGGTCCCTGGAAACCCCCACACATGGCAGGGGAGGAGGGCTGTGTTCTGATTTGATCTGATTCAAAATTCATTTATGGAAAGCAAAGTTCTAGTATACTATTTAAACATATTCATTCTAATTGTTGTTGTTGTTAAGTGCTGTCACTCATGATGACCTTATGAATGAAAGACCTGAACACTTCTATAACTTTCATCATTTCTCCAAGTTCATAGAGTTTCTGGAAGCAAACTATTTCAGAAGTGGATGCTACTCTTGCTTCCAAGCTTGTTTTCACCAGGGAGCTCCACTAAATACTGTCCGCCACAGGTAACCATTATTGCATTTGACACATCGGTGTCACAGTGTTCAGCATCACAGCAACCACGAGTTACCTCTGTACAGCAAATGGACAGACCAGTGCTGTACCACTTAGAAGAATGTTTGACCAAAAACAATTAAAACCAGGCCTGAGGGCCACAGTAGCATAACTTTCTAGCCTCTAGGCCAACAGGGCTCTCTCTAATGTTACTGTTGTTGTTAAGTACCGTTGCGTCATTGACGACTCATAGCAACCCTATGAACGAAAGACCTGAACACTTATACTACTTTCATCATTTCTCCAAGTTCATAGCATTTCTGGAGGCAAGCTATTTTGAAAGTGGAACTATTAATTATAGTTTCCAAGGATATCACTAATAACTAAAAATATACAGTAAATTATGCAAATAAGAATTAAAATAATACACTAGAAATAGTTATATAACACAAAATAAAGTAGTAGTGGAGGAAGGGGGGCAGGATTAGTGGTAAAGAAAAAGAATTACCAGACATATATAGAAAACACAAAGAAAAATGACATATAAAATCCTACCTTCCCTTATCAAGAATAACATTCAATATTATGGACTCTATGTAAACCAATATAAATTTTTTTTCATGAAAAACATCTAATGAACTAAGCATTTCAACTGAAAAGCAGAGATTGGCCAAAGGGAATTAAACAAAGATCTAATAGTCTACAAAAGATATATTTTATATTCAAAGACTCAAAATTAAAAAATGAAAAAAAACCATTATGCTATGAAAACAGAAATCAAAACAGAACTAGAATGGATCTACTAAGCTGAGACAAAGTAGACTTTAAGACAAAAGTGTTACTAAAGAGAAAAAGGACATTTTCAGATGCTAAAAAGGCCAGTGCTGCTCCGGTTGAGTACTGTAGAGTCAGAAGCAACCAATAGCTGACCCTCGAGTGGGTTTTCAGAGGCGTTTAATCGCACAGGAGGAGACTGCCCATTCTTCTTCCATGAAGCAGCTGGTGGCCTCGAACTGCATGCCTTTAGGATTGCAGCCCAGCTTCTTGCCACTAGGCCACCAGAGCTCCCACCCATCAAGGAAAAGATAACAATGGTGTACACATAGGCTCTGCTGGTTTAGGGCTAAGGAGTTGTCCTGCCAACCCAAAGGCACACGATTTTAATCCATCAGCTGCTCCACAGAAGGATGGGCAATCTCCTCCTGTGCCATTTACTACATCTGAAAACCCGCTGGAGGGTCAGCTTGGGGTTCTTCTAACACGAAGGTGCATAAGAGCAACCGCATGAACTTGAAGGGAAAGGATACAGAATAAGGTGATCAGCTGTTATAGATATTATCATTAATGTTATAAAAGTAAAGGTGTCTATGAGTGATTGAAAAGCCAAATGCTTTCTAAATTTTCACTCACTCAAATTACAGTAATTTTTAAATGTTGTTGTGCAGCATAGAGTCAGAATTGACCCATACCTGACCCTCCGGCGGGTTTTCAGAGGCAGTTAGTCGATCTCACGGGAGGAGATTGCCTGTCCTTCTCCCTCAGAACAGCTGGTGGCCTCGAACTGTGTTTGTGTTGTGTTCAGTGGTAGGCCTTCAGGATTGCAGTGCAGCTTCTTGCCACTGGGCCACCAGAACTCTATCTATCTATCTATCTATCTATCTATCTATCTATCTATCATCTATCATCTATTTTTAATTTAGCAAACTATGGCTTATGAACCAGCACGGACCCACCACTTGTTAGCTTAAGTAAGGTTTTATTGGCACACAGCCACACGCATTCATTCATGTATCGTTCATACCTACAACAGCAGAGTTAAATAGTAGTTGTGACAGATAACTCAGAGCCACAAAGCTGAAAATGTTTACTGATGGGTCCTTTACAGAAAAAGGGCCCCTGATCTTGACTATTACCAGCTTTGGGAGAGCCTGAGTTAGAAGGAGTCCTGAGGCAATAGCTACCTTCTGGGAACTTGTACTCATTGGTGATGTCTCTCCTGGAATCGTGGCCCACTTCCTTCGTGCTGATACTTCTCCCAACGTTGTTGGTGCTCACGGAGACCTTTTTGAAGTATTTCTTCCCGTTCACTGTCTTCATCAGCCAGACGATCTGGTCGGCGTTCACCTCAGAGAAGATGAACTTGGTGTCGTAGCCTATGAAGATTTCTCCACTGCGGATGGCAGACACCGGCGATGGTCCGCAGCAGTAGATACCTGAGGATAGGCCAGGGAGGAACTCTCAGTGCGAGTTTCTGACCAGCCCTGCCTAGACGAGGCTGGGCCCCTTGCTCCAGTGTGTCCCTTTGCCTTCCCGGTACAGAAACCAAAACCCCCAAACCCACAGCTGTCAAGTTCATTGCTGACACGTGACACTCATCCGTCAAGTTTCTGAGATTGTGAAAGCTTTATGAGAGGAGACAGCCAATCTTTCAGCCGCGGAGAACCTGGTGGATTAAAACTGCTGACCTTTTCTCAATGCATTCCCACTGACCACAAGGCCCTGAATTGCTACACTGTTATAATAATAATAATTTTATTATTATTATTATTATTATTATTATTATTATTATTGTTAAGTGCCGCCGAGTCACTTGCGACTCATAGCGACCCTATGTACAACAGTCCTAAACCCTGCTCTATCCTGTGCCAATAACACTGTCTCCGATACACCCATCCTGATTACCCCAGTCACTGAATCAATCCACCTCATGGAGGGCCTTCCTCTCCTGTCCCCAGCATGATGTCCCTCTCCAAGGACTGGTCCCTCCTAACGACATGTCCAAAGTATGTCAGACGAAGCCTCAGAATCCTTGCCTTCAAGGAGCAGCCCTGTTTAACCCTCTCCAGGATGAATTTGTTTGTTTTCTTAACAATCCATGGTACCCTCAATACTCTTCTCCAGCACCATAGCTCAAAGGCATCAATTCTCCTTCTATCCTCATTATTATTATTATATTTTATTATTTTAGTATCATCATACTCAGTGAGAGTGGTAAGAATGACTGGATGTGCTCTCTGTTTATGAAAGTTGGTTCCCTGCCCCCAGTCTTTCTCCATACCTTCTTAGCTGCCTATCCAAGATTCCCAGGTGCAGGGCCACGTGAAAGCCACCAGACTCCTCCCCACCCCACCCCCCACTCACCGAAGCTCCTCTCCTGAGGCGTCCCGTCCACAGCCTGCCAACCATCAAAGCCTTTGGGCAGGTCCTTTCGCTTCATCCAGGCTTCCGTCCACACGTGGAAATTCCTGAGGCAGGTGGGGAACGGCCCCATGCCGGGCCACCCCCAAACACAGTGAGATATATTTGTCCCAAAGGCCAGGGACCCAGGAAGGTGCTTCTCAGGACTGAGGGAAGCTTTAGCCAGGCACCCTCTCTCCCCTCAGCCTGGCTCCAACATCACCTGCACCACCTCAGGGGTGTAGTCATGCCCTCGTCTGCCCATCTGTCTCCTCCAGTCCTCTGCCTGGGGGCTACTGAGTCAGAGAGCCAGGGACACAGAGCCTCCCACAGTAGGGACCAGCCATAGTGAAGGTTCACCAGTAGCCTAAGTGCCAGAACCTCCCGGCCTGTGTGATAAAAGCAAATACAGCTTCCTGGCTTTCCCCTCAAAAGTTAAGGCTCTGGCCCAGGAATCGGGCTGGTTGGTTTGCTTTTACTATCTTTTATCATGTTTCTATAGCAGTTTAAGTTCCCACCAAACAATTTCTCCCCAAATTACTTAAAGACCTTGGTCATAGTCTCGACAATGTATGACCTTTTTTCATTTTTTCCACTCTGGTTGTTCTGTGTCCATTTCTGGTTGTTTCTCATGGTTTCTGTTCTGGTTCCCCCCACTTACAGCCTCACCTGTCCTTTGAAAGTGATTGTTGGCTGTTTGGTTTCACCTAGGTGAAATATCCCAAAGCAACCTAGAACTTAGGGGTGAGATTCATTATTTGGTGAGCCCATCTCTTCCTTACAAGAAGACCTTGGAGATTGGTTACAGTTCAAAGTCTGAAGAGTTCCTTTAGGACAACTGTCCTGTAGACTCCTCCAGCCTCAACCAGTTCAGTTAGACTGGGGCTTGGGGCTTGTTTTGCTTTGTATTCTGTCCTACACTCTGCCCCCTGTCTATCAGGGTCTGGCTCCTGTGTCCTGATTAGAACTGTTGCTCATGGGAGCTGGGCACTATCTACTTTCTTATGGTCTCAGTGTAGCTGAGATCCTGGTTTGTGCAGGTTAGCTTCCTTGGTTTGCTTTTGTTTTGGGCAAGCAGAGACCAAGAGTTGCATGTTCTATGGCCACTTTTAAGCTTTTTGAAGTCCCAGAGACTACTCACAAGACTAGGACACAGAATATAACTTTATGAGCTCTATTATGACAACTGGCCAAATTGTCCATGAGGCTGTGGTTCTAATCTTTCAAACCCAGAAAATAAACCTCATGAGACACCTAATTAAAGCTAATAAGAGCCTGTAACTGCATGTGAGTCTTTTGTGCTTGATTTCATGGATATATGAATACATGTGCACAATGTGGCACGCATGTACATAGACAGCAATCTGATTTTAACAAGGACCCTCAGGCGACTGTGGTACCGACTGTCCAAGAGGACATTTGGAAAAGCACTGAATGCCAAGGCGGTAGATGTCTGGGCTCCTCTAACTTCCATTGGACCCTGAAAGACGTGAGGAGGACCCTGCAATAGGATAGGGTCCAGGGAGAGGAGGTTCTGGAAATGGGGATTGGGCTGGAAAATTCCTGGGGCATAGAAGGCTGCGTGGGAAAAGGGGCCTTACCAGACGGAGTCATTGGTCAGGTCCGAGACCTTGCCGTTTTCATCCATGTAAATGTCCACTGTGAGGTTCTTCTCCGTGTCATGGGCTGCCTGGTAGGTGGTCACACTGCGTGCTGGGATCCCTAAGGCTCTCAGAACTGAAACGGCACCCGGGTGATTCATGATTGGGAGTGGTCCCTCCCCCTGCCCAGCCTGTGGTCTCCCACGTACCTGTGGTCAAGATCCCCGAGAACACCCAGCACTGGCCAAAGCACACGGGCATCTTTGTGGTGTAGTACTGTTGCAAGATGGGGGCGCTGCCGTTCCAGATGAAAGGGGCCACACCGCCTTTGTAGTCCCCTGACCAGTTCCCAACAAGCACGCCGTTGTCGTCTTGACTGCTCATCTGATGCGCACATGGAAGGGTGGTGTCAGCATCCACTTGCCAGCCTGGCCTGACCACGCCAACTCCCACGTGGACACCCCACAGTATCTAAGAAGACTTGGGGGACATGATCCGCCTGGGAAGGCAAGGGACCCAGAAAAGCTAAAGCACTACCTAGCTGTGTAGCCTGGAGTGGGTACACGCCTCTGTGCCTCTGTTTCCTCCTCTGTAAAATGTGATAATGACATTCACCTCTAGGGCTGTGTAGAGGATGGCATAGGGTACAGGCCTGCCTTGGTACTTCTCATGTTTAAATTAACTCACAGTGGTTGTTTTATTTTATTATTTTTTGTGTGTACCAACAAATCAGATCTCACTGGTACAGGAGGAGATTGCCCCTCCTCCAGCAGAGCATCGTGTGGATTTGAACCATGTACCTCTGGGATTGCAGTGCAGCTTCTTGCCACTAGGTCACCAGAGCTCCCTTCGCAGTGGTTGTTTTAAACTAGGCTTTAAATGAACTCTGCATCTCTCTCAAGCTCTGAGGAGCCTTCGGGGCTGGAACCCCTCCATGTTATTAAAAGCGGAAGAGAGCAATGCCACAGGAGTTCATCTTAAAACATTTTAAAGGCATTTAACAGTGCTTAGGGGCGCTGCGATTCTTAAGGTTCATGGTTTGACTCCACCAGCTGCTCTGCGGAAGGATAGGCAATATTTTCTCCCGTGATTAACTGCCTTTGACGACCAGCGGGCAGTTCCAACTCGATAGCACACAGCAACAACACACCATTAATGCTCCTTAAGTCATTACAAATCCATAAAGCAGCAGAAAAAAAAATCATAAACCTGTGTGGCTGTATGCAAGGAGGGAGGAGGGTTAGAAAAGACAAACAGGTAACCTTCAGACAGATAAGCAATTCTAGGAATGACCAGTCTGAGGAAGAAAATAAGATGGTGTAATATGATTCCAGCAATTTCCTTTGGCTCAAGGAGCCAGGGAGGGTCCCACGGAAGGGTTGACACTTGAGTTGAAACTGGAGGGACCACAGAGGTGGCCATGTCCACCCAGCCTTCATTGTCAAGGAAAACTGCTTGGAGGAAAACAGGCAGGAACTGAGAGTCTTGTCTAGCCCTGTGCTTACTCGCTGGGCAAGAGGAGTAGATCTCTGTAGAATGACTACACAGCCTGCACCGGTTTCCCCAAGGCCTTGGGCCTTTGCAGGGAAGGGACAAGCCACAGTGGTGTGCAGCACCGTCAAGGGAGATTTACCATGGCCGACATGGCCCGGGTCACCAGCACGGGGTCCTTTGTCTCCGTGATCTTCCGAAGGCCCCTGCTTAACAGGTACATGCAGCAGCTCAGGACATTCTCCTCGAACTAGATTTGGGAAATGAAGGAAGAAGCCATTAACAAAAGAGTGAAAACTCCAGGTCAGAAACTTCATGCACATTAAGCCACTTGAACTTGACATCAACACTGTGCAATTATTTCCATTCTCTGGGGAGGAAACACACCTCACACCACACAAATAGGCCCATCAGCACTAGATAAATTAGAAACTGTCTAAATGCCCGGCCCCGGGGCGTAGCCATAGGATAGGATGTCACGTAGCTGCGGAAAAGTGCTGACCACCATGAGAGGTTTCCTTAATAGCCAAGTTAGAAGAGTGAAGAGACCAGCTACAGTCACACATACACAGTTATCTGAAATATATACACATTGAAAAAATCCACTGTCATTGAGCTGATCCTGACTCATAGCCACCCTCTGTGGGGTTTCTGAAGCTGTTCTCGTGTGGCCTAGTGATAAGAAGCTGTGCTGCAATCCCAAAGGCACAAGGTTCTAATCCACCAGCTGCTGTCCCAGAGGATGGGCGATCGTCCATTCAATTAACTGTCCCTGAAAACCTGCTGGAGGACCAGCTATGAGTTGGTTCTGACTTGAGGGAATACAACAATGACAACTTAAATTCTGGTGACCTACTGGGTAAGGAATTGTGCTGCCAACCAAAAGCTGAGCAGTTCGAATCCACCAGCTGCTCCATAGCAGAAAGATGGGAAATCTCCCGTGTCATTTACAGCCTCTGAAAACCCAACAGAGCCCCTGATATTAATATCTGTATGTAGATTCTTATCTAGGTATTGATAATCTGTCTCACAGTAGAGGGCCAGCGATGAGTTGGTTCTGACTCGATGGCACAATAAGAACAACTTAAACAAAAAAAGGTGTTCTATTAAGTGAAGCCTGACTTCGCGACAAGAGGACAAATCTTTTACCTGACCAAAAATCCAGGGTTTTTCTTGGATCCTTTTGAAATCACCCATGTATACATAGCCTGTATCGTTGAGAACATATTCCGCTCGCTCCTCCTCAATGGGCATGTAGACCACATCATCTGAAGCAAGAGCACCACACAGATGAGGTTATAGTCCTCTGGCTGGCAGGTGCGGACCTGCCACACAGGACTGCCTCGTCTTGTGTTCTGGCTAGGTTTTCTGAGGGGTTTGGGGCAGTAAGTGTTAGGAGGTACGCTATTGTGGGTGAGTCTTGCCTAATTAGCAAGTTAAAGATGCGGAACCGCACACTCAGTGCAACTTTCGTTTGTGAGGAGAAGAAAATTGAGGAAACAGATCAGAAACCAATTTGAAGATGATTTTAACGGGTCCTGTACAGAGATGGCGAAGGTCAGAATAAAAGTGATAGGTGCAGAAATTGAAAAAAGGACAAGGATTAGAAACTGTTAAGATAACAAATGAAACGTGCTAAAGCTAGAGGTCTTTCTGTCTCTTCACCGCTTGCTAATATTTCTCACGAGGGAGTGAGGTGAAGTGAAGTGGCTGTAGTTAAGTAAACTGGACACACATAAAAGGGGGGAGGGAAAGATATTGTGGATGGGGGAGAGAGGTAAGGCAGACATTAGCAGGAGTTTCCTGGGTCAACAAGAAAGGGCAATGGACTTCCACTGGGTAAATCTAGGACAATCTGAGCAGAAATGAAAGTAAGCGTAGGAAGGAATCGCAAATGAGAATCTATACAGGTAACAAATGGAAGCCAACATTCACGGATGGGTTCATGGATAGAAGGCAGGCAGGTGTATGTAGATGGGGTGCTGGTTGGAAAGTCAGTCTACAACCATCATAGAAAAGATTGGTTCAGGCAAAACGTGTCTCAGTCTCAACACAGGGAATGGGGACGAGGAGCAGGATATTGTCCCGACCTCGCTCTACACAGACTACTCCCCGGACACAAAGGGGGAAAGGGCAACAGGGAGATTGAACACTTTGACCACATGATCAAAATGGACAGCACCCATGAGAGGCAGGTGGACACAATGCCCTCCCAGACGTGAGACAGAGAGTGACTCAACATCACTCTAATCCTACTCCTTCCAGGGACCCATGCCCTGAATATTAAAATAGGAAGGAACAGGAGATAAACCCCAAACAAGGAGTGCTCTGCCCACAAGAGAGAAGGGTTCCTATTCTTCAAAAACGTCAGTGTCAAAAAACACTCAGAAAGTCTGAGGAACCAGTCTGCGCTATAGAAGGGAAGGAGCCCTGGTGTTTTCACACTGGGCTACCAAACAAAAGGTCAGTAGTTCAAAACCATCAGCTGCTCCCTGGGGAATGAGAGATGAGGACCGTTGGCTTCTGTAAAGGTCCACAGGCTTGCAAACCCTGTGAGGCAGTTCGCACTTTGCTCTGTGCAGCCCCTCCGGGTCAGAAATGGTTGGATAGTAATAGGTTTGATATGACTTTGTAAGAGAGACCCACCAGAGGACTGTGAGAGGTAACATTAGACTGGTCAATGGCCAACCTGGAATACTGGGTGTAAATGAAAGTGTTGTCTCCATGTCAGGTTTACGGAACCTGCTACCTGTCCTGGGATAGTATAAGAGACATCTTTTTAGGAAATACATACTGTGTGTGGGCAGAGTCACAAGGCATGTAGCCAAGTGGTATCATCAGGTCAACTGGACTCATGCTGACCCAATGAGGGTCTCCGTAGAACTACACTCCATTGGGTCTACAATGGCTGATTGTTTCAGAAGTTGATCGCCAAGACTTGTCATCTAGGATGTGTCTGGGTGGAATCCCAGTCCTGGTTTTCAGTGAGTAGCCAAGTTTGTATTAGAACTTTTAACCCCCACCCCCCACCCATCCCCCAGCGACTCCATCACGCATGCAACTTACTCTGAAGTGGTGAAAAACTTTTTTTAAAAAAGGGGGAGGAGATTGAGAGTAGGAAAGAGAGAAAGAACAAATGATGAAGTAAAGCAAGTCTTCTCCAGAGAAAATAAATCAGGTGGTTTCCAAGGGCTATAAACCTTCCTGGAAGCAGACTGACACATCTTTCTCTCAGATGATGGAGTTGTTGTTGTTGTTGATGGAGTAGATGAGGCAAAATGTTAGCCACAGGGTGAAGGCTCTTTTTTTTTTTTTTAACTTTTCTGTGACCTCGAAGTAATTTTAAAATGCTAAACTAAAAAAAGGAAAAGCCCCCCCCCAAAAAAAAAAAAAGGAAAAGCCCCCTGGTTGGCCTCTCGGTGGTCTTTAACTCTGAGAACAAGCTGCCTTGGAGGTTAAAGCAAGATGTCAACATCCTGGAGGAGAGGTTGATGGGAGAAAGACCCCCAGGTGACGTTTGCAGGAAGGCTCTAGAGTGAAGCCCATGACAGTGGAAAGAACAGGAAAGTACAGTTTCCACAGGGAGGGAACAGCCGCCATGATTCTGGCCCTGCCTCTGTAGAGGACAGAGCTCTTAGTGATCCTTCCCTATGCCCCTGAAGGGCAGTTTCTGTAGAGTGAAAGGGACAGAGGCAGCGAGGGTGAGGCAGTTGGGGAGAAGTGGAAACAGCTTGGCTGTCAAAAGGATGCTCCGAAGATCCGTTATCTGCGCCTAGGCCCTGTATGAGCATCCTCAACGGGTACGTAAGCCCCTGAAAACAAGCGGGGCTTTTGCACACGGCCATCTGGGCAGGGGTTGAGTGCTGCCAATCTCCCCAAGCAAGTCTTGCCCCAAGCAAACCTGAAGCACCAGGCACATTCCAGTGTCCGATTTCACGTTACCTTCACACCACGGGTTGTAGAGCAGATAGAACTCGTGCTTCTCGGACTTGCTGACATCCTGATAATCAGTTCCCACTTGCAGTGAGTATATGCCCACAATGGCACTGGGGGGGCTGGTGATACTCAGAATGACCTGGGCCAAGCACAAAGACACCAAAGTTGATTTGCACAACTCCCTTTGGTCAGACCCTGAGTCTTACAAATCCTAGGAAAAAAATCTCTCTATCCTGACAACTCACCCCTCCCGGAAGCCTCCCAAATCACTCAGAGACCAGGCACAGTCAGCGCCCTTAACAGCCAGAAGTGCCCTGGGGTGGGCAGGACACACGACACATAAAGGTGACCAAGCGAAGCAAGGGGTTCCTACAGGTCCTGCCGGTGACCCTCAACAGATGTGGATCCAAAGGCTGGCAGGTGCCCTTGCCTTTCTGAGCATGATGTCCTTGGCTACAGCCTAGAGATGGCCATGCCAGGTTGTCAGGAAGATCTGATTGACGGCGTAGGTGAGGTGCCTCGCCCAGAAGGTGCCCCTCAGGTGGTTGTTCTCGTTGCTAGGCGTCATCAAGTCAACAACTTTGACTCAAAGGGATGCAGATACAACAGATCGATACCACACCCTTCTCTGCCTGGTCCCTACAATCTTGGCCACACGTTAGCCCACCATTAACACTCATTGTGTCAATCCGCCTTGTCGAGGAGCGTCTTCTCCTTTGCCGACCCCCTACTTTTCCAAGCATGAGATCACTTTGCAAGGACTGGTCCTTCCTGACAGTGTGCCCAAAAGATTGACAGTAAGTCCCCGCATCCTCAAGATTCAATGGTGAGAGAGTGCGTCTCCCTATTCTTGCCTCTCACAACCATTCCGGCTGCACTGTTTTCAAGACAAACTGGTTTGTTCTTTTGACACTCTGTAATCTGTACTCTTCATGGCAGGTTCAGTGTCAGTCATCTCTTGAAGAAAAAAAAAATACCACCCATCCCTATTGTGGGGACTCAAGTAGCCCGAGCCACACAGAGGTGTTGGTCTAAGAGTACCCAGGCTTTCACGGGGCCTTTTGGGGTTACTGCAGCTACCACGACATGAATAACCCAGAATCCTCCCCACCCCTGTGAGAGCTTAGCACCAAACACCCCACGGGTGCCATCTCCACCCAAAGCCCAGCTCTGCCCCTGTTGTGGCCTCAGGGATGTCCTTAACCTTGCCTGTGCCTCAGTTTCCCTATTTGGAAAGGAGAACAGTGCTCCCCATGTAAGACTGTTGTGAGAAGACAATGCGATGGACTGACACAATTAACTACAACAGTGGCCTTAAGCACAGCAGAGGACAGGGTCAGCCAGGGTTCCTTCTGGTCGCACATACAGCGACTGTGAGGCAGAGTTTATTTGTTGACACCTAACAGGGTGCACTGGGGGGCCTAGTGGCAAGAAGCTGAACTGCAATCCCAAAGGCACATGGTTCTAATCCACCAGCTGCTCTGGAGAAGGACGAGCTATCTCCTCCTGTGCAATTAACTGCCTCTGAAAACCTGCTGGAGGGTCAGCTACCGGTCGGATCCGACTTGCCGGTACTCGATAACAATATAAACAAATGTGTAACTGCTGTGATCTGGACAGTGGGGAAATTGAGGCTTAAGGGGTGGGTCCAGGAGGTAGAGCTAGACCAGGGCTCGCTGTTACAGGACTCCTAATGCTTACACCCCCTCAAAGAAGCACAGCCCCTCAGCCAGTGGTGGGATCTTCAACCCACTTGGTATCTGGCCCACTGACCACCTTGGCTAGAGCCCGTGCCCCATAAGCAGGTGTGCCAGGATCCGCAGGATGCCCAGGACAATGTCCAGTCCCCACTTTAAAAGCGTCAGTGAAGAGCCACCCAACACCCTACCCCCCATGTGGTGTCCCCCTCACCTCTGAGCCCATCTCCTTATAAATAGAAGAGTGCCAATGATGAGGTTTCTGGGGATTTTTCGGGTTCAGATTCAGCAGGGTTTTGTTGTTGACATTAGGGGATGGTCCTGGAAACACACTCAGGAAAGAGTCTGGATGTTAGCCACAGCCAAGGCATGAGCCACACCCGAGAAGAGAGCCTCCCTTTTTGGGGCGTGCACATGCTCCCTCAAGTGAAGGCCACCCTCCTCCTCTCTGCACCCTTTTCCTGGGGCCCAGCTCCCTTCTCCCTGCCTCTCCTTCTCCCTCGGAGCCCCTCACAGCTCCTCATGCCTCCCAGGCCCTGTCAGAACAGCATTCAGCCACCGTTTCCATGTACCCTGCAATACAGCTGCTGTTGTCCCCTTCCAGACAGGTACACCGAGGAGGAGGAGGGCCCTGGGTGGGAAGCCCCCTCCTCTACCCCACAGCCCGTGTGTGTCGGACCCTGAGGCTGTCACCTGTGATGAGCTGCACCTCAAAGCTGTCTGACGATTGTAAGGTGTGGTTAAGCAGCAGCCGCAGGTGAAACTCCTTTCCTCTTCGCACTATGAGTTTGTCTGATATGAAATCTGACGTGTGGTGGTTTATGGCATTATCGTCCTTCATGAGGTCAACGTGATGAATCTTTAGGTCTGTCGGCAACACAGAGGGGCGGGAAAGAAAGAACAGAGAACATTTAATCCCCTCTTGGGTCTTTTTGGTTTCCAGTTCTGACAGTGAAGCAAAAAAAGGAGCGAGGCTTTGGTGTCAGGCAGCACTGGGCTCCCAGCCCTGGCCATGGGCCTTTCCGGAGGCACCTGTGAAGTCGAGGGGTGCAGAATGTGAGCGGAGAAATGCACATCAGGCACGTGCCCCAGGTCTGTGCATGGTCACTTCTAGATGCCTGTTAAGGGAGACCTCACTCTTTAAGCCTGCCAGCCCTCCTCTCCAAGGTCGTGGTCACACAGTGGCAGAACTACCCTTGGAGACGGTGTCATGACCAGGATCCAGTCTCATCAGCCCTATCCTGACTCATGAAGGCTCCACCTGTCGCAGAGCAGAACTGTGCCCCAAAGGGCTTCAGGGGCTGAATCTTTGGGAAGTAGACCCCATCACAGGCTCTTCTGAGTGGCTAGTAACTGAGCACATTAATCATTTACATTCCCTTTTGTCTGCCCAAAATCTATCAATAAGGCCTTTGGAAACAAGGTCTTTGCAGACGAGAATAAACTGAGTGAAATATCTCAGACACAAAAGGCCAAATACTGCATAGGTCCACTGTTGTAAAACGGGACTGATATCGGAGTTGGGGGGACACTGAGAAAGATGGGTTCAATAATGTATACTGCATTGAAACAGATGAGGGAGAGAACTGTTTAAAAGGGATATATGATTAGGTATTATTGTCATGACAGGAGTCCAGAACGAAGGCTGTATAGCAGAGTGGACCTGGGGGGAGGGATTGTATAACAATGAAAGAATTTTTCTTTAACTTTCCAAAGAGAAGAGCCAAACTGGGATGGGGGAGTGTGGGCAGGGAGAAAAGTGCAACAATGAATGAATAGAAATACAAAGTCTCTGTAAATTTCCATTAAAATAAGTAATAATAATAATAAAAAGAATAAGCTAGGACCTCAGGAAAAATATCATCTCGGATCATTTGGGAGGTCCCAAAATCCAATGAAGCATGTCCTTAGAGAAAAGGCAAGGGGCAACGTGGCATGACAAGGACATGTGTGACATAGACGAGATTGGAGCGAAGCTCTTTCGAGTCATAAAATGATGGCAGCCGGAAGCAGGAAGAATCGAGAAAGTATCTGCCGCTAGAACCTTCAGAGGGGGTACAGCCCTGCTGACACTGATTTCAGACTTCTGATCTCCAAAGCAGTCAGAGAAGAAATGTCTGTGGCTTTAAGCTATCCAGCTTGTGTTACTTTGTCATGACAGTCCCGGGGAAACTACTGACTTTTTACACAGACAATGCATGCATTTATACATTCGTGGTTTTGTTTTTGTTTTACTTGTTTGCAAACCCCACAACTCTGAAGAAAAAAAAGATATGGTAACACACCTTTACACAATCTAGGTGCAGAAGTGTCCACGTCCTACTGGCCTCCCGCCTCTAGAGGGCACTGCAGAATGACCTCAGTGAGCATCTCCTGGCAAGTCTAGGGGGCCTGGGTGGAAGCCTGAGGCAAGCGCCTCCATGGCACATAACAACAACACTGCATCTGGACATATGATAAACAAAATACTAATATGAGATGCTAACTGCTTAAGATTCCATAAATGCAAGCAGGATCATAATGTACAAGGAAAGTGTAATGTGCAGAAAAAGTATTTGTGAGAAACAATGACCTTGCTTCCCACCCACCCACCCACCCCGTTGAGAGATTTTAAGAAGTCTAGTGGGTTGTGGGTTGCATGCTGGTCTCCTAATGGAAGGATGAGCTATTCAAATCCACATTCTGCAGAAGATTGGTCATTTCCTATCACGATTATTTAAAGCTGAGGACACAGCCAAGGGTAGGATTTGTCTGCCTGACAGTGTGTACGTGCTGGATTGCAATTTACATTCTTTGAGTGTTAAGAACAAAGTTAATCTCTGTACGTTATTAGTTTTGCTCTAATTGCAGCCCGTTGGGGCCTCTGGGGAACAGCAGACAGTGAAAGTGGCTCTCCAGACAGAGGGACCTGAGAGAGCCTCCCCAAGCAGTTTTTCCTGCTAATGAGCTCTTGGGGGACCAGATGCCTCACCCCTAAAAGCCGGTGGTTTTCCTGCCTGATGTGCTACTTTCTGAATTGGTCAATCTGGACATTGAGTGACAGAACAAAAGGACTTTTAGAACAGCCTTGCTTGTCACTTGGGCTTGTCAACACGGTGTCTGACTCAGCAGCAGTGTCTCAGATCATTTGGAAAATCTACCAGATTTACAAAAAAACAGAAGAAGAAGAAGAAGAAAAATCTTTAACTCACAGATCCTAACTGCTGGTCCCAGACCCTGAGCTGAACGCTGTGGTGTCTGTTGCAGGTGGATGCCGGCTCAGCACGAATTTACTGGAAAGCAGGCACAGCTCAATGAGCAGGGAGGGCTTGGGTGTAGGGTCTCTGCAGTGTGGGGTGCCCTTCTGTGTGTTCTCAACTACAGAAACATGGCAGATGGCACATGGACCAATAAGCTCACGTCCAGATGCCCCAGGAAAGGGCTTGTCTCTGACGGGGCCTTCTGAAGGCAGACTGGTCGACATACTGCTTCCAATACAGAGGCTGATAGTGTTCTCATGTGTGTTTCTGGCCCATGCTGCAGGTTCTAGAGGGCACACAGACTGCGACCCCTCTGCCCACTCCTGGTGGGCTCCTTCGCGCCCCTCGGGGATATCTCACTGCTGTCATTTGTGTCCAGGTTTCTGGCTCAGGGAGCTGGCGGCACCAGACGGACGGCCCTGCTCTTCCTCCTTCTCCTGCTGCACCACCTCGCTCAGGCAGCTCCCCAGAAAGGACTGATCATCTCTAGACTGTTCAGTGGATAATGGGGTCGAGGGAGCTGTGCTGCTAGCTCCAAGGTGGAGCCTGACTGGCGGTTCGAATCCACCACGCCTCTGAGCGAGCAAGATGACCAATCTCCCGCCAGGTGATTTAATGCCTTGGAGACCCGGTGGAGGGTGGGCTCCGAGTGGATTCAGCAATGAGAATGAGGCAGTGGGAAAACCAAAGGGATGGGAGCCTATGAAAGCCCACTGTCTTAGTGGTATAGTGTTCCTGTAACCCACATACCACCGGTGTTAGCTTCACAGAACATTAATTTGTGAGTTGGTCTCAGGCTGTCTTTTGCTTCCTTGTCGTCAGCCTAGGGTGCGCCTTGGTTCTTTATAGACAATCCTTCCTCCTGAAGTGCTTGCTGCTTAAGATCAAGGATTGCAGCCTTCAATATGGATTGAAG